TTTTCGTGATGCACATTTTCTTTACATAAAACTCTCTCTTATACATGAGTTGCTGTGGATTTGTTTCTCCAAAGTACCCAGACTAATACAGTGCACATAGATCTATTTCCCCATCTTCATATATAAATATATTTACATACGTACATGCCTGTATTTAGACCTCTATAAATTCCCTTTGCTTTGTAGTTCTTTCCACTATTTCCTTTGACTTTCCTCTTGTCCCACTGTCATACCCAGCCTTAATTTGGGCTTCAGTAATTCCTCTCGGTTGATTATGCCCTACCAGGACTTCAAGGTTCATTTTCTTAATGACTAATGATAATCAGGTAGCATAAATGGGTAAGTTCTGGACTACCTAAAGGTTGGTGGCTCAAACAGCAGCATCTGCTTTTGAAAAATCACACCAAAAAACCTCAAATTCACTTCTGTAAAACTGATTCTGACTCACAGGAACCCTAAATATGGTTTCTCGGAATGTAAAACTTTATAGGGGCAAACAGTCTCCTCTTTCTCCTATTGAGTGGCTGGTGGGTTTGAACTGATAACCTTGAGGTAAGTAACCCACTGTCTAACCCACAGTGCCATCAGGGTTCCTTCTCAAAAGGTCATAACCTTGAAAATCCTATACAGTGCAGTTCTACTCTGCATGGATTGAAATTGGCTTTACAGCAACTAAAATTAATCGACCATTTGCATCTTTGGAGACTTGTTTGTTCATGTCCTTTGATGATTTTAATTATGTTGCTTGCCTTTTTTCTTCCTGAACTTTAGCAATCTCTGTTTTGTATGCTTTAGAAAATAACCTGGTTCCCATGTGTTTTAAGAGTATTTAAGGGACATACTTAGAGGCAGACTGATAGCATGACCCTCCCCTGCCCCACCCCACCCCAGAACTTAAGACATTTATCCACTCATTCATTGATTCATTGATCCTTTCCTCAATGAACTTAAAATTTCTGATTCTTGACCAGGTGCCAGATACTGTGGTAAGAACTTGAAACCTGTTGATAAGGGAACAGTTCCTCTGCTCTCCCATCAAGAGCTCACAGTTTGGTGTGCATGTGTTACACTTTGAATAGATGTGATCCCACAAATTACAAGAAGAAGAGATAAATGCTAGATCAAAGATGTAAACAAAGTGCTAACGGAGCTCAGAAGTGGAGCAATTCACTCTGCCTGGATGAAGGCTTTACAGAGGAGGGACATTGGAGCAGTGTCTTAAATGATGAGTAGTACACTTGGCAGGAAAAGTCTTTCGGAGAAGAATGAACCATGTGTGCATAGAACCAGCATTTCAAAAGGACAGTTGTGTTAAGGAAACAGTAAAACATTAAGTGATGGATTTGTGTGTATTCTAGTACTATTTTACCTTGATATAAGAGTAGTAAAAATATAAACTAACATTTATTGAGCATTCATATGCGCCAAACCCTTGCTTTAAGATGCTATCTCACTCTTTGAGAGCTTAAAATGTCACAACCTTGTAAGGGTCTCCTGAAGCACGTAACACTGATAAGCCACCAGGGAATGGTTGTAAGTAGGGAAATACTTGTCTGCCAGTTGTATGTGGGAGGGACTTACACATGAGCCTGTCTGTGAACATGCTTTGGAGAGTATTACTTATCATGCACATGATGATTTTACCTGACAATTAAAAAATATAATCCAACCTTACACACAAAAGGTGCAGCTTTCAGAATGGGGAAGAATCAAACAGAAATGAAGAAGAGGTTTCTCTCCAGGCCTGTCGTTGAAATGTTCCTGTGCTAACTCCAAAGTTCATGAGCTGTGAACCAAAGATTAATCCCACTTCCTGTTGATTGGGTGACTAGTTCAGATTCTCTCTACTGCAAGAAACAGAAAAATCCAAGTTCAAATAAGCAAAAAAGGCCTCTGCTGTTTCAAGATATTGGGGAGGCCATAGTTGGCTTCAAGGACCAGTTTTCCACTAGCTTTTTCTTGGTTTCATTGGCAAGCTCCAAAGAGAGGCATCTGGGAGCTCCATCTGGAGTTTCCCATTCTTGGTGGCAAAATAGTGGTGATCTATTCCATTCAATCAAGTGAAAAAGAGAAACCCTCTTTTCTAGTGGCTACCCCAAAGGCTGAAGATATTTTTGATTGGTTACCTTCTTATCCTGAACTGCTCGAGGTGGCCAGTGATGGTCATGTGCTGATTGACTTACACCTGAGTCATTTACTCCACCCCTATAGTTAGTGGTAGAGCTCTCTCTGAATGATGTGGGCTTTGAGCTGGGGAAGAGGTCAAAATAAAACATGCAGTCTGTTGCTTATAGAAGAAGGCATAGATGCTGGGAGGCTCAAGAAAATACTTACTCATAGGGGTGGCATGGGTTTTCCTAAGCACCTTCTTTCTCCACCATCTCCAAATCACCCAGTTCCAACCATTCTTGGTGATTTATTAGAAGAGGGCCATCCCAAAAATGAGTGAAGTTGTTAAGACTGTTCTCCTCTTCTATGGTAGATTCAACCTGGATCCCTTTGACTGCTACACAGATGAACAGATCTGGGATGTCTTGGGAAAGACATTCCTGACCAAGACAGTAAGTAGCTCCAAAGCCTCATTCTTGGTCTTAGCTGACCTTCTCAAGAGGGGACTTGGTCTTTTGGTGGCTACCTGCACATGATATTTTTGATGGTGCTGCTTTAAGGGAGAGACTGAAACACATGTCAGTGAGATGATTTGGTCTTTCTAAATAAAGACTGAAGCGTCTCAGTCTCTAACCATGTGCTAGGTACCCAGAAAAGACAAAGTGGACAGGTCTTTGCCTTCCTAGCGCTTACATTCAACCAAGATAAAGGCAGCAAGCAGAATCGCACTTGAAATACCTTTGTATAGTAGCTATTGCTGTCAGATATTGCAGGGCAATTGTACCAATAGAAACTTCAATGGGAAGCAGTTACTTTATATCATGTGAACAGACCTTTCAAAGGACATCTGAGCTGAGATCGATTGTCGAAGGGCAGCCAGGCAAAGATCTTTGAGAGAACATTCTCAACAGAGAAAGTCATAAATGCAAAGACCTGGAGGAGAGGATAAATGAAGCACAATTATGGAACACAATGGCCATCGTCCAGAGTGGAGAGGAGGGGCAGAGAAGTGCTACAAAATGTGACAGGAGAGTTGGGTGAGGTCAGCTCCCAGCCTCTTTCTGCAGTGGCCAATGCAGTATCTCTTCTTCCCTCAGATCTCAAAATTTCCACAGAAACTGTTCACAGAAGTTGTAGAAAATGGAGAAAACTTCTCTGTTGGGCAAAGACAGCTGCTCTGCATTGCTCGAGCTCTCCTTCGGAACTCCAAGGTGAGCCTGCCCCCCACACACAGGTGGGGCTGAGAAGCCCTAAGAAGTCACAGGTTCACAGGTAATGTCTGACTTGGTGCACCCCACTGGCTATTTCTCCTTCTGTTGCCACAAGATTGTCGGTGCCAGGCTCTTTCCTTAAAAAAACCCCAAATACTCACTCATTTCACTGAATAACTTTTCACATGTATGAGGGTAAGTCAGGCAAACATTTCTGCGCAATCATACATTTCACTAAACAAAAATATCAAAATGTGAAGCTACTGTTCTCAACATATTCTCTATGTAGGTCTACACTCCTGAAAACAGTGCTTCCACCTCGTTAGTACTTCCCATAAAATAGTCCTGCCCTCTTGGATTTACAGAAGCCAAAATGGCAGTTTTGGCATTTTTGAGGTACTCAAATGATGTACCTTTGAAATTTTCTCTGAATTTTGGGAGCAAAAAGAAGTCTGAGGAGGGCAAGATTAGGGCAGCAGGATGGATGGAGTGAAGTTTCTCAATAAAATTGTGGCAAGAAAACCCTTCCTATCTTGAAAGAATGAGCAGGGACATTGACACAGTAAGAGAAATTCCTTGATACAACTTTCTTGACTTTTTCCTCATCAATGCAGTTTTCAAATTTTCTTAAAACTTCTTCCTAACCGATCACAATGATCTACATATAACCCCTTCCCAGGGGGATGGACAACAGAAAAGTGGGTGAAGGGAGACAGCAGTCGGTGTAAGACATGAAAAAAATTTTTAATAAATTATCAAGGGCTCATGAGAGAGGGTGGGTGGGGGAGGGGGGAAATAAGGAGCAGATACCAAGGGCTCAAGTAGAAAGAAAATGTTTTGAAAATGATGATGGCAACATATGTACAAATGTGCTTGACACAATGGATGTACGTATGGATTGTGATAAGAGCTGTAAGGCCCCGATAAAATGATTCATGTTAAAAAAAATTAACCTCTTCCTAATAAGCCCTCATGATCACTCTGTGTTCTTAGAGAAGGATTTTTAATAATACTCCTTTGGGGTTCCCCTAACACAGTTGCCATAATGTTTTAAGGTGACATCTCTGCCTTAAAGTTAACGAGCCCAGTAGATCCTTTCAGAAGCCACTCTTGTGCTTGGATTTTTTTTAAAGGCACTCTAACAAGACTAAAGCCAGTGCATTACTGAGAGAAGTTGTCCTCAGTTATCCGCGGATCACAGAGACATGCTTAAACATGATTTCTTTGGAATAAACCTGTGCATGTATAAGTTGGAGTCCTTGTAGCCATACTTTTTGGCTTCCAGTTATGTTTATGGTGTAGGTGAGGTGGTACCCATACCACCCTGATACCCTGTAAGCGGAAATGCTCTACCATTACAAGCAAATGATTATGCTCTTTTCCTTGGGAAAAGCTACGAGGCTGGAAACTATTGTCTTACAAATTATCTACCGTACATCTGTCTTTAAATTTTAATGCCGGATATTCCTCTTGTCTTCATCTGAATTTAGAACCAGATGACAGCTTAGCCCGAGAAAGTTTACAGATATATTTAAAAGTTTAATGTAATAGTGTTTCTTGAGTATTCAAAATACTTTGTTGGTAGTTTTGGGTGTCAGCCCCTGAGCTAGTTAGGAGCAAATGAAGTGATGCAACATACACACAGATTTACAAATGCACACCTCCCCCACACTCACATGAAGGCACACATATGCCCACAAGTACATACATGCATTCACACAGCAGGGTTAACCAGTTACTAGTGCAAAAAGTGTTGGTGTCTACTGTCAGGGCTGTGGGAAAAGAGTAGGCGGAACTCTGGGGGGAGGGGCCTGCAGGAGGGGAGAACGTTTCAGAGGGGGTAGGTATCCCCTTCTTTCGTGAGCAAGATGAGCAGCAGGTTTGCAATATGTATGTGGCACTTTCTTAGCTTCTCATTTCCTTATTTCACAGTGACTTCGTTGTTTGGTGTGGAAATTGCTTTCTCTATATTGTTTCCCAAACTTATCTGTATACCAGCTAATCCGTGATTGACTGTGAAAAGCTACAAACAAACTCAACTGCCATCAGCTAGGTCCCAACTCAGTGCGTTAGAGCAGAATTGTGTTCTATCAGGTTTTCAGTAGATGGCTTTTCAGAAGTAGGTTGCTATGTTTTTCTTCTGAGGCTCCTCGGGAGAGACTTGAACCTCCAGTTGGCACCATCAGGAACTCTATGGTTTGCTAATGATATTCCTTTAAAAAAATAATTCAAACAATTGTGAATTAGGTGGGAGTTACCTTTTAGATAACCAATTTTGTATTCAAGAGTTTAGAGTACTTATCAAAGCCTTGAATAGCTTACGCTTGTTCCCCCACCGTGCCTTTGGTTTCTCTTCTCCCTCTTTTGGATTACCATCTTCCCCTTCACCCAGCATAGTCCCCAGCAACCTGCTAGCCTGTTGCTTCATCTTCCCTCCTTTATCCTCCCCACCCCTTGGTAACCTCCATAGTCTGTTCCCTGTGGTATGAGAGTATTGGTCATTTTTCTCCTTTTTCGTTATAACAGTGGTATCATACATTATTTGTGCTTTTGTGATTGACTAATTTCACTTGGCATATTGTTCTCTAGGTCAATCTTTGCCATGAGGTGCTTCATGGTTTCATTATTGTTTTTTAGAAAGGGATAGTATATGTATGCAGAAAAGTTTCTTTATTAATTCTACTACTAATGGGCACTTAAGTTGTTTCCATTTTTGTGAACAGTGAGTGCGGTGAACAGTGAGTGTGGTGATGGACATAGGTGTGCATATGCCTGTTCATGTTATGGGTCCCCTTTTAAGAAACTGCATCATTGCAAACAACAGTATTTGTGAAATCATACTTCATACGACAGGTATATTCTTCTAGTATATATTATGAATGAAGCAAATATGAAATTATTAAAATAGAAGGGTGTCACCATATAGTAGTTACAACCATCTCATATGAATTTAGAGTGTGTGCATACCACCTTCTGGGGAACATTGTTCTACATCCATTCAGGCATAAGAAGGCATTTTGATTTTTCATGAACTTAGTCTTCTTTTACTAAAATATAGTCAGCTCTTGGCTGACTATATTGTCTTTGTAATGTAAATGATAACTAAAAATTAACAAGTTGGTTTTGAATTTGGTCCAACCCTCTCAATTCACAACTAAGGAAACTAAGATCTAGATGGGAGGGATCAAAGTCTCATAATGAGTTAGTGGTAGAACCAGGAGTAGACCGAGGTCTCTTGGGGCTGCAGAGGTCACTTCCACCTGTGTTTTGTGCTCTCCAGATCATCCTTATTGATGAAGCCACAGCCTCCATTGATCTTGCGACTGATACCCTGATTCAGCGCACCATCCGAGACGCCTTCAAGGGCTGCACAGTGCTGATCATTGCACACCGTATTGCCACTGTGCTGAACTGTGACCGCATCCTTGTCATGGGCAATGGGAAGGTAAGAGTTGCCTCTCTGTCTTGATGGAAGGGCAGATGTACAGAATGCTGACACAGGAGGCCTTCCAATTCTTCAGGACGGAGCTCAGCGGTGCCCTGGTTCTCTCTCCTTTTTCTGCCTCCTAGGTCATGGAGTTTGACAAACCTGAGGTCCTGCAAAAGAAGCTTGGGTCATTTGCAGCTCTGCTGTCCACAACCAGTCCTTCCTTGAGCTAAAGAGAAAAGAAGACTGCATGAGGATGGCGAGGCTGAGTTCAGAGGGTTCCCAATGTTTAGTATAAGTCCTTCTGGCTAAGAGATGGCCACTTCTGCTGAAAGTAGGGATGCAATAATGTGAGGTCTACTGGTGATGGGCTGCAAAAGAAAACTGAGGAACAGAACCTGGAATAGGATCCTGCATCATTTAAGTCCATGCATTTCCTTTAAACGTATATGCTGAATAATTTCATGGTACTGTAAAAGTTTATTATCCTTTTTTTCTGAACTGTAATAAAAGTATTGCAAATGATGTATTGCCTTTATGAAAAAGTAAAACTAAGAAAACGTCACCCTATTTGTTATACTTTCTTATAACATTTTTTTCTATTTATTTATTAAATCATTTTATTGGGGGCTCGTACGACTCTGATCACAATCCATACATCCATCCATTGTGTCAAGCACATTTGTACATTTATTGCCATCATCATTCTCAGAGCATTTGCTTTCTACTTGAGTCCTTGGTATCAGCTCCTCATTTTTCCCCCTCCCTATCCGCATCCCCCTCCCTCATGAACCCTTGATAATTTATAAATTATTATTATTTTGTCATATCTTACCCACTCCCTTCACCCACTTTTCTGTTGTTCAACCCCCAGGGAGGAGGTTATACGTAGATCCTTGTAATCGGTTCCCCCTTTCCACCTCACCCTCCCGGCATCGCCACTCTGAGTACTGGTCCTAAAGGGATCATCTGTCCTGGATTCCCTGTGTTTCCAGTTCCTAT